CATGTTTATTATTTGCAGGAAATGCTCGGAGAGCTGTTTACACCAATAGAAACGCCAGAAGCCCAGAACAGAGGTTTTCTAAAGGGCTTCTTTGGAGGAAACGCCAACACCTTCGACAGAGAGGAGCTCTGTGCGTTTATTTTTTTATTTTTTCTCAATGTAAAGTGCTTGATTTCAGTGTGTGCTAATTCACTCAAAAGATGACATAAGTGATAATCATATAAGAATCATGAGGTCTCATATTTTCAAGGGTTAACTGTGCAATTAGCTAAGGGTTGTGTGATTCTGCTTTACATTTCTCCATCGCTTTCTCTCTTTACTTTGAACCTGATGTTGTTGACAGTCGGTGAGGCAGCAGCTGGGAAGGCGTCCCGCAGTCTGGCTCAGCACATCCCTGGACAGGGGGGGATGGAGGGCATGAAGGTGGCAGCGGGCGGAGCAGTGGGGGATCTGGCTCGGGCCCGTATCGCTCTGGATGAGAGAGGCCAGAGACTGGGGGAGCTGGAGGAACGCACCGCTCTCATGATGACCAGTGCAGAAACCTTCTCCAAACACGCTCATGAGGTGAACACAAGAACTCTTATGGTTGTTATTTATAAACTAAATATGTATGATTTAAAAAATCTTACTCTTGGTCTAAATATGAGTTAATGAATACTGAAGTACAATTAAGATAAGATAAAAGTTTAAGCATGAAACTAAATAAAAACTAAACAAACTAAAGTGGAATACTGGTATACATTTTTGTTAAATGAATCTCAGCTTAACCAGGTGAGTCCGTATATGGAGGTTTGACCCCGACTGCAGCAGCAGCTGATTCTGTTACAGTCCAGCTCTTTGCTGCCTGTCTTCCTTCCTTCCTCCCTCTTTTCCCATTTTACACTTGTGCTGTCCTAACAATTAAGGCAAAAAATGTTAGCTTTAAAAAAACAGACATAACTTTGTAAATGGTACAAAAATACTGTGTTAATATTGAATTTGAAGATCAGAGCGGATGGAAGCTAATATGTGAAATTCCACCAAACAAGCTTAATTAGTTTCAGCTCATTCTCTTTTTTAGTATGTTGTATAGTTTTCTAGTAATCATGGTTTATGCCTCAAAACCAAAATTATTGTGACAGTTCACCATCACAGTCTCTTTCATTTCCTCCTACACTGATGTTTGTTTGTTTCAGAAGTAGACAAGGATTTGTTTATTATTTATCACAAAAACCTTGTCCCTGGCATTAAGTAAAGTCGTGATAACTTTGTCATCACTGACCGTTAGTGATTTTGTCTTTTCACAGCTGATGCTTAAGTGCAAGGACAAGAAGTGGTACCAGTTCTAATAGCAGCAGGACAGAGGGCGGAGGCTGCCCTGGGACTGCTGAGAGCTTCATGCCGGGACAGGGACTTTCACTCTACCGATGGGAGCAATTAAAAGAGAGACTCAAGAGTGACTTTGTCTTTACGGCTTGTGGACTGGCTATGTGTGCAGCACTGTCACCTTGTTGAATGACGGGGACGGGCTAGTTCCTTAGTTCCTTGTCTAGTCACACTGTGATGAGGAAAGAGAGACGGTGGCGACGTTTTAAGGACGTGGGAATATCCGGCAAATGTGTATGTGTGTGTGTGCGTGCGTGTGTGTGTGTGTGTGTGTATGGTTGGATTTTCTGGACCTCACTGTGTAGATACTCAAAAGTTAAGAAACCAACAACAATGCATGAAACAAAAATGGATGACTATTAAAAATATCCAACTGCCATATTAAAAAGCAGCATGCTACTTTAACAGGAGATACAAAAAAAGTTTTATTTAATAATGTAAGCCAACAACAGAAACTATAAAAAACTTTATATTTTTTGAAATACTGACAAAAAAAATATATATATAAAAAGGGAAATGTATACCTGCATTGCTATTAAGCCAAAAGTTGTGTTCCTTTCCCTTTATTTATTTTTACTTTTTCAGTTCATTTTGTGTTCTCAGTTTCAGCAAATATTACTTGACACAATATAAATGCACATACTTAGCTTTCTCTACACACACTTAGCATAGCGCTAAAACTTTGTTATTACCAATTACTCTGGGCTGCACAGTGCAAACACAAATCAGTAGTATTTACACTTAACTCCGCACAGTCTGATCACACACATTTATTTTCACTTTACGGCTGCTGCTACATAAAAGCATTAAACGATAATGAAGAATATCTCGCTCCCCAACTATAATTGTATGAAAACAGCAGAGAGCAGATTGATATGAGACGGACACGAAGGCTGAAAGACAGTTTAAAGTGTATTCTGGACACAGTGTGTTTATATCTATACAAACATATATACTATTCTCGTGCCATAAAAAAACAAGATGGGTGAATCTACTTACTGTAAACAAACAAAGAGCTAAAGAGTAGTGAGTATTCATCATGTGTTTCCTGTTGATCAGAACAGATGAGAGAAAGTTCTTGGCCA